AGCCTTCTGGTTAGCAGTCAAGTGCCTTAGGCACTATGCTACCAAAGCTCCTATGTAGTCATATAGAAACATCATATATATTTTTTAATATAAAAAGTAGTACTATACACACTATTGGAGCTCTGGTAGCATAGTGCCTAAGGCACTTGGCTGCTAACCAGAAGGCTGGCGGTTCAAACCCATCAGCCACTTCTCCGAAAGAAGATGGGGTAATCTACTTTCATAGTGATACTGCCTCGGAAACCCAAGGAGGAGGGGTCGCTATGAGTCGGGTCCGACTCAACAGCACATAACAGCAACAATATATGCTATTATGTTTTCATTTAATGTTAAAAGTTGGAGACATTCCATTTCAGTACTTAAAAGAATGTGTGTGTGTGTGTGTGTGTGTGTGTGTTTTAATGACCACATGTTGTTGTTGTTGTCATGTGCCGTTGAGTCGGCCCCGACTCATAGGACCCCTCCTTGGGTTTCCGAGGCAGTATCACTATGGAAGTAGGATTGCCCAACCTTCCTTCCGAGTGGCCTTTAAATTACATAAAACCTCTCCTAGGCAGGGGTCACTTAGGGCTGCCTGGGCCTGGACCAGGGGGAGGCCACGTGCATTTTGTTCTGAGTTCCTAGGAAGCTCCCAGCATATTCAAACCCACCCGCCACTCCTCGGAAGGAAGATGGGGCAATCTACTTCCATAGTGATACTGCCTCCGAAACCCAAGGAGGGGTCGCTATGAGTCGGGGCAACTCGAGGGCACATAACAACAACAACAACATGTGGTCATTAAAACACACACACACACACACACACATTCTTTAAGTACTGAAATGGAATGTCTCCAACTTTTAACATTAAATAAAAACATAATAGCATAATCAATTAAATGTATGTATCACTATTTATTTAAGTCCTGGATGATAGTCATTTTCATTGAATTCAGTCTATTGCTTTTCATAATCGATACTGCAAACACTAACTTTGTACACTTTCAATTCTCTCATGTGCAAATATATAATGACCTCAATTTATACTTTCTCTAGCAAGGTATAAGAGTTCTTGTTTTCTCATACCATTCCAATGCCGTATTAACAATTTTTTTTTTGAGCTTTGCCAATAAAGTAGATGAGAAATGTTATCTCACTGTAGTTTTAAAATTCATTTGTCCTATTATGAGTATCTTTTTATATTTTTAAAAGCTGCTTTAATTATTTTTAGAGACATAAAGATTTAGAGTTGTAGGGGATATTAGAGATTATAGCCCATTGTGTAGGTCAGCTGAGATATCAGATATTAAACAATTTATAGATAATGTCGGAACTAAACCATGTCTCTTTCCTCATTAACTCAAATCATTCTGTGGTATGCCATTAGATGTAAATAACTAAGTTTTTCTATTTAGAAGCAAAATCTATCCTGGTTTCTCCTGTAGAATGCTTTTTATATAAAAACAAATTGAACAGATTGGGCCAGGGTTTCTCAACATTCACACAATTGACATTTTGACTGGATAATGCTTGTTTGTAGAGGGTCATTCTGTGCATTTGGGATCTTTAGCAACATCCATGGCTTCTACCACTAAGTGTCAGCTAGACCCCTCTAGTCTTGACCACTAAAAATGTATCTAGACATTGCCACAATTGCCTCAATTTAGAACCACTGCCTTAGGCCAAGCAAAGCCTAGTAATTAGAATCTGTAAGGCTCTCTCTCTGTAATTCCAGATTTATAGTTTAGCTTAAGTTTACTCTTGGCAGCTGGACTTATCTTAGCTCTATGGGCAGTAAAAAGAATCTGATGCACACTAAGGAATATGTAGCTCTGCTATATATCACTCTCTTCAACCTCTGAAAAATGAGAACAAAACAAACTAGAAGTATTAGGTTGATAAAATGGGCTCTTGAAATCTCTAAACCTTAAACCAAAAACATCCAAAGTCTTTAAACCCAATAATACTGTAGCTTAATTAGTAAAGGATGTTGCCTTGAGCATTGTGCTGTTTTAAGAACTTACCTATACGGGATCAAATTGACAACAGGATTTCAAAAAATTAGAGACTTATGGGACAGTGAGTTTATGTTAATGGGGGAGGAACAACTTGAAGAATGTAATCAATGTCGCTGAATTTTGTGCACATTGAATTGGTGTATGTTCTACTGTGTATACTCTCAACAACAACAAGAAGTAGGTTTTTGGCATTAGCCCTCACCTAAATTTTGGGTATAGAAGGATGAATATACATAGGGTATTAACTTGGACTTACAGATTTTAATAAATCATAGTTCATGAAATATGTAAGCTTCAACTGAGAAATGAACATTGTGCCTACCTACCTTTTATACCTTCCTAATATTATTTATGAAAGGTGTTCTGGTGGGGCAATGCCTAAGGCATTTGATTGCTAACCAGAGGTTGGTGGTTCATACCCACCAGCTGCTTCTTCACAGAAGGAAGATGGGGCAACCTACTTCTGTAAAGATTTACTTACTGCCTTGGAAACCCAATGGGGTTGTTATAAGTTGGAATCAACTCGATGGCAGTGAGTAGGGTTTTTTTGTTTTTTCTTTTAAGTATTATATATAACTGTCCTAACGTTGTTGTTATTGTGTGCTGTCGGGTTGGACCCGACTCACAGCGACCCCTCCTTGGGTTTTTGAGGCAGTAGCACTATGGAAGTAGATTGCCTCATCTTCCAAGGAGTGGCTGGTGGGTTTGAACCGCCAGCCTTCTGGTTAGCAGTCAAGTGCCTTAGGTACTATGCTACCAGAGCTCCCAACTGTCATAATAATAATTGTAATATTTTAGTGTAAGAAATGCTTGTAAAGTTGAAATGTATGTCATAATTTTAGAAATAGTCTTCACTCAGAAACTGAAAAATTAACTTCATGCTGCCTTGAGTGGGACAAGAAGCTTGAATTGGACATTCCAGATGATGGTGAGGGAACATTTATATTTTTTTGATGTCTTAACTTTTTTTCTATTATTATTGTTATGTTTGGTTTGCTCAACTTTATAGTTTTGTTATTTGAAATAACAAGATTTTTTTTTTTAATCTAAACATTTTATTGAAATATTCCCTAATATTTCTATATTAAAATGATATATAGCTGAGAAGCTGTAACTACTTAAAATAGTGACTATCATTCCTATGAGCTAGACATTTGTTCTTTTTTTTTTTTTTTTAATATGACTGAATGAAAATTACCTAAATCATTATGGAAAAGATTTTCTGCAAAATTTCCTAATCTTACTTATTTGGAAAAGCTGTTTAGAAAAAAATGCTTTGTGTGTTATCAGTGTGAACATGATATCATCTTAAATACTGATGTGCAGTGAGTTATTTAGGGTTGAATTCTTGCTACAGATAAAATAAAAAGTGAGAATGCTGTTTACTATTTTGCTGTGATTTAAGAATTTAAGAGAAGAATAAGCCCTTGCATATTTGGAGTAAGGTCTTCTTATCAGATGTTGAACTTGTAATAAAGGTCATGTTTTGTAATTTAACTCTTAAAAACTTCATGTTTCCTTTAGCTAAAGATCTTATTCGCACAACAGTTGGTCAAACAAGACTTCTTATGAAGGAAAGATTCAAACAATTTGAAGGACTGGTGAATGATTGTGAATATAGACGAGGTGTAAAGGAGACTACTTGTACAGATCTGGATGGATTTTGGGATATGGTTAGTTTTCAGGTATGTGCTTGAATATTTTGGGTATATTAACTTATGAGTCTTTTTTTTTTTTTGGTTATTGTTTTCCTAAAATTGACTTAACAGTAATAGAATGAGGTAAGAATTATGTTATGTTGTTATGTGCCGTGGAGTCGGACCTGACTCATAGTGACCCCTCCTTGGGTTTCCGAGGCAGTATCACTACGGAAGTAGATTGCCCCATCTTCCTTCCGAGGAGTACCTGTAATATTAAATGAGATATTGAAAGTTACCTTTATAAGCTATAATGTACTGCCTAAATTTTACGGCTAATGTTTCCTCCCTCCCTGTTGTCAGGATAATTCCTACAGGGGTGAGAAACTGAGATTGTATTCAATAGTTGATAATGATTTTACATGTGAAAAAATGAGTAAATCTAGTCTTTAGTAATTCAGTTAGTAATTCAACTAACAGTTACTGAGTTCCTACTATGTGCCAGATATTGTAAGAGGAATTGATAAATAAGATATTCCCTATCTCAGAGGAGTTTATAGTTTTACTAAGAAGTCAGACATGTAAAAATCCAGTTTCATGTAGAAAGTGCTAAAATAGAATCACTAGGAGGGTCAGTAAAGGTATGGGAGGAGATGATACATTTTAGCTTTTCAAGCTTATTCTAGAAATAAACCTGAAATACTGTTTCAAGAACCAATATCCAATAATCATTAGACATTTGAAGAAAGCCTTAAAACTAAAGAGGCTAAAGTAAACATAAAGGGAAAAAGCTATTTGCATAAAGGCAATGGAAATACTTCAAGGAGAAAAGAACTTTTAAAAACAAGTATTTCACAATAGCCAGTAGCTGGAAATATCCCAGTGTCCATCAAAAGATGGATAAACAAAATGTGGTATATAAATACGATGGAATATTGTTCAGCCATGAAGAAAAATGGAATTCTGATACATGCTACAACATGGATGAACCTTAAAAACATTAATGGAATTCTGATACATGCTACAACATGGATGAACCTTAAAAACATTATGCTGAGATGAAGTACATCAGACACAAAAGGACTACTGTTGTATGATCCCACTTACATGAAATGTCTCGTATAGGCAAGTGCATAGAGACTAAATTTATCAGAGAATTACCAGGGGCTGGGAGGAGAAAGAAATGGGAGTTCCTTATTGATGAAAACTCACTGCCATCGAGTCGATTCCCCCCTGGGGAATTGACCCCCACTGGGTTGCTGAGGCTGTAAATCTCTACGGAAGTAGTTTGCCCCATCTTTCTTTCATGGAGCATCTGGTGGATTAGCAGCCAAGTGCCTTATTCATTACACCACCAGAGCTACATTATTGATGAAAGGTATATACGTTTTCTATTTGGGGTGATTTCAAAGTTTTGGAAATGGGCAATGGTGATAGTAGCACCACATGGTGAAAGGAATTCTTATCACTGAATTACAATTAAAAATGGTTAAAATGGCAAATTTTCTATTATATATATTTTACCACAATAAAATTAAAAAATGAAGTGTTAGTATTCTCTGAGATCATACACTTCATCTGTTAAATAACTATTAAAAAAAATAAAAAGCATTCAGAGAACAAAAAGTGTTAGGAATTAAAAAATATTAGAGCAGAAACATAAGGTTCAACATAAAGAAAGAAGATAATGTTAAGGAAATTTCCCATAAAACAAAACCAAAAGAGAAGAGAGATATAAAATAGGAGAGACTAGGTAAGAATACTAAGTGGATTAGTCCAGGAAATATATTATCCAAATAACAGGAATTCCAGAAAAAGATTAGGTAAAATAGTGGGGAGGAAATGATAGATGAAATGGTTTAAAATTTTTCTCTAGAACTGGAAAACATGAATTCTAGAGTGTGGCTCATTGAGTAGATTCACACCAAGGCACGCCATGAAATTCAATGGCACAAATCTTGGTATGGAGAGAAGATCTAGAGGTTTCCAGAGAGAAAACAAGTTTCACACAAGAGGTCAAGAATCAGAATAGCCTTGGATTTCTCAACAGAAACTGAAAATTGGGAGATCAACATCATCAAAATTCTGAGGGGAAAAATACCTCAATTTCTGTACCAAACCAATCAAGTATGATAGTAGGAAGACATTTTTCAGACATACAGGTTCTCAAAATTTACCTCTTATGCAGCCTTTCTCAGGCAGCTGAGAATGTGCCTCATAAAAATGAGGGGAATAAGCCAAGAAAGAAAGAAAAGGTAAGATTTACCCCAGAAAGGGAATTGTCAGTGGTGAGTAAAGGAAGAGTCTAAGATGGCAGCTGTCTCTTAGGGAGCAGTACTGCTTCAGGTGGCAGCAAGAGACTCGAGGGCCTTGAGAGAGATGTCTCTGTGAAACTGAAGTGGGTATAATACATGGTATGTTTTATTATTGTATTATGAGAAGATTTGTACTACTATATAGGTTTTGGAGGTGACGACTTAAAAAAAAAAAAACTTACTGCTATCTTATTGATTCCAACTCATAGGGACTTCCATTGGGTATCCAAGGCTATAAATTTTTATGGAAGTAGGTTCCCTCATATTCCTCCTGGTGGGTTTGAGCCACCAACCTTCTGGTTAGTATCCAAATGCCTAATCCACCAGAGCTCTTTGAATTGATGATAGACACACAAAAGGCTAAGCAAACAAAAAAAGAAAAGCAATTACAAAGTCTAAGGAAAATTTGTGAGAAAGGAAAAACAATCTCAGTAACCATGTAGTTGGTCTGTGAATAGTGTTTATATAGCCATAAAAATGGAAGCATTGCTTGGAGCACTTAGTTCAGAATCCTCTGGACTTTGTGATTCCCAATTTGCAAATTGTGTTGTCCCTCTATAAAAGCTCTTTACCGTGAATTTTAAAAGAATATATAAGCATTACATTATGATCAGTCTTTATATATATACCAGTTTTAATAATAATGGCCTGGTTCACTAGCATCCCTCAATGGTGACTAATTAAGTCTGCTTTTATTATCATTATTAATTTATAGACTTAAAGGTGTTTGGTATGCTTAAATTGCTTACAATTACTATCCTTATTGATGCATATTTTCCAGCTTTGGCGAGTGGGGGTCTCTTTAAGTTGGCTCCTGAGATCTTTTGATTGATTGATTGATTGATTTTATTAGGATTTGGGTGAAGATTTACAGAGTAAATTCACTTTTCATACAGCAGTTCACATATACTTTGTCTCATGTCATTGACCAAAATTTACAATGCAGCAGCTCCCCTCCCACTTCCTCCCCATAGTTATCTCCTCCCCGTGTCCATCCCTTCATACTCTTCTGCACCCTGAGCTATCTCCCTGTGCATAAGCAGCCCTTCCTTCTCCCATGATTGTTCTCTCCAGGGCGTGTGTCTACTTGAGGTAAATGTTTAACTCACATGCCTGTACTTTGTTTGGCTGGAAACCACAGTTGTGGGTTCAATTCCAGACCTGAAGGGCCGCTAGGGGCCATAGTCTCAGTGGTTACACCAGGCTCTATTGGACCAGCAAACCTGGTCCCCACCTTCTTTTTTTTTTTTCTCTGAGACCTTTTTTTTAAGCAATTTATTGAGGTGTGATTTATATATCATTAAATTCACCCATTTTAAGTGTACAATTTAATGATTTTTAGTAAATTTGCAGAGTTGCACAACCATCATCATAATCCAATTTTAGAATGTTTTTACCACCTTATAAAAGATCCCTCATGTCTCTTTGCAGTCAGTCCCTATTCCTACTCCCAGCCCCATGCAAACACAAATTTACTTACTGTCTCTGTAGATTTGCCGTTTCTGGACATAAGCAAGTTATTAGATGCTTTTTCATCTGACTTCTTTCACTTAACATGATGTTTCTGAAGTTCATCCATACTGTAGCATGTATCCACATTTCATCCTTTTGTATTACTGAACAGAATTCCATTCATTATTTAATGCATATTTGTAGTATTTCCATTCTCGTATCCTGAGTCCTTTAGAAATGTATATTTTTTTAAAAGAAAGACTAAAAGTATGTATGTATGTGCATAAATGCATAATGGTGTTATTGTGGGTCGTCAAGTCAGTTCCAACTCTTAGCTACCCTATAAGACAGAATAGAACTGCCCCACAGGGTTTCCTAGGCTATAATCTTTGCTCAAGCAGATAGCCAGGTCTTTTCTCCCACAGAGCCACTGGTAGGTTCAAACCACTGGCCTTTTGATTGATTAGCAGCCAAGTGCTTAACAATTACGCCTCCAGGGCTCAAAAACATGCTTCCAAACTGTTGACAATGGTTACCTCTTTGGAAGAGACTAAAAATGGCAAAAGAGGAATGAAAGGGAATCACATTCCCATCCTTCTATGTATATGAGTAAGTAGATTATCTGAATCTTTAAAAATGAAATTATGCTTATGCTTCATGATTTAAGGGGGAAAAAACATTTAAGATGCCTTCTACCATTTTACCAATAAACCAAAGCCAAACCCATTACTATTGAGTCGTTTCTGACTTACAGTGACCCTCACTGGGTTTCCAAGGCTGTAAACCTTTACAGAAGTAGATTGCCTCATCTTCCTCCCATTTGATCCGCTGACCTTCTAGTTAGCAACCAGATGTCTTATCCACTATGGCACCAGAACTCTTTTTCCTGCCATGGTAGGGGTCAAAATAATTTAGGAGTGTTTTTCACATATGACATCTTTATGTAGATTTTATAGGTTTGTAAAGCCAAAAATAACAGTGAACAGTTTTACTACAAAAATTTGAGTCATCAGTCTCAATTTGTTTTGATGCTTCAGTTCATTAGTTTGTAACTTTAATATAGTTAGCATTAATCTGATAAACTTATGCCTTATTTATTAATAGATAGATGATGTAAACCAAAAATTCAACAATCTGAGAAAACTTGAGGAATCTGGGTGGCAACACAATAATATTACAAGCAAAAAAGTCATTCGGGTAAGTTTGTGGGTTTTATATCCAAATTTCTATTATAGACTCTTCTACTTTAATTAGATTTTGTTATTAAACTTAAAAAAATATTTAGCCTTGTATTTTTCATCATTTTACAAAGCAATTTCCCATTTACACCCTACTTTTACACTTTGTTGAGGTAATAATAGATATTTTATGTCATGCTTAGTATGTGCCACATGTTACTCCAAGTACTTTACATGTATTCTCATTTAATCTTCACAACAATCCTATGAGGTAGGTTCTATTACCCCATTTCACAGATGAGGAATCTGAAACCCAGAGCGATTAAATCCCACAGTAGAGCTGGGCTTCAGGCTAGGATTTCTTTTTTCAGAATCCATTTTCTTTATGGGTGGGCTATGCTGCCTCTGTTTGATATAAAGTATGGTATGATATATTTCAAAATGAAAGAATATTTTGAATAGAAAAGAAGAACAAGGGCTCTCTTTTTTTTTTTTATTAGGATTTGGGTGAAGATTTACAGAGTAAATTCACTTTTCATACAGCAGTTCACATATACTTTGTCTCATGTCATTGACCAAAATTTACAATGCAGCAGCTCCCCTCCCACTTCCTCCCCATAGTTACCTCCTCCCAGTGTCCATCCCTTCATACTCTTCTGTACCCTGAGAGGCCCATTGTCTGCCAACCCTGTATATGATCTTGGATACACTCTCCATTTAGACATAGATAATTGTTTAGCTTGTTCACCCATCTATCCGTCCCTATACCCACGTTTGCTTTCATTGACAACTCAGTATTGTATTTGCAAAGGGGTTCATATTTGTTGTTTGTACTGCCCATGTAACTCTCTCTGTCTTTCTCATCCTCAATGCTGCCATTTTGGTCACTCACATTTGGTACATTGCCCTTCTCTTCAACAAGGGCTCTCTTTGTCTTCTTTCCTATACTTTATCTTAAAAGATTCCCTACTACTTTCCCCCATAAAATTTGTTTTCTTAACATGATAAATTCCATTTTTGTGCATTTCTAATGTTTGTGTGTTTGTTTTGTTTGCTTTTCTTCTAGTAATGCTTTCAACCCAGATTTTGGTTCAGTTGGACACTTCTCAAACTACCTTAGAGCATTATCAGTTTTTCTTTATGATTTTAGAAAAATGCTTGTGATTATAAAATCAGGTTTTCTAGATTGGTACTTATATGTTCTATAATACAAATAAAAACTCCCCCCTAAATTATTTTACCAATAAAAATATCTCATGAAAAGACCCTGAAGGCAGTGACTAAAGTGATTGAATGGATTTCACATCTATTAAATAGCAAAGGATGAACATTTTAAAGCTACTGGGAGTATTTTTATTTGAATGCTTGTCCTGGAAATACTAATGTTTTCAGTGATGCAAATAGCAGTATCAGTATGTCATTATATCAGAACCTTGTAATTCTGCCTCTTATCACCAGATGGCTCTCTCCTCCTACTTTATTTTCTAGGCTACTGTTAAGATTATCAAACAAATAAAGCTAATCTTTTAACCTATACTTTGATATCAATGCCTCCTTTCTCTGTTCATTGACTTCGTTCTGTCAGTTTCCTTGTTTGTTCAATTCCCCCCTTCCCGTCAGTTTTTAAACATGCTTAATTGAATATCTTTTTTTACATTAAAGAAACATGTACACATGCGTATCTTCTTCCAGCTACCTGTACCCCTCTGCTCCTACCTCTCTTCCCAATCACAAACAAGCCCTGACAAATTGTCTTTCATATTTAGGTTTAACTCTTCCATTTATCTAACTCATTGCAATTCAGCTTTAAACCCCTCTTTGTACCTCTGGAACAGTTGTCACCAAGGTTATTGATCCAATAGTTACTGAAGTTATTAAACACGTTTATAAAATCTAGCCCTTCTGCAGTATTTAATAGGTCCATTCTCTCCTTGCATTATATCCTGCTGACTTTCCTCCTGCCTATGGCTATTCTTCAATCACGTTTGGAGGTTTCTCTTTTTCCATTTATTCTTTAAATGTTCGTAATATTCAGAATTCCTGCCTCAACTCTTCTTCTTCCATATTCTTCTTGCGCAGTCTTCTCCTCCTCTCCTTCATGGTGATTCGCAGTTCTCTATTTCAGACCACACTTGTTATGGAACTCTGGTTGTATATATCTTAATTTAGTATATCTTAAAATATATATATCCTAAACTGAGTTTGCTGTGTAAACTTTCACTCGAATCACAATAAAAATTTTAAAATATACGTGTGTGTGTGTGTGTGTGTGTCTAAACTGAAATCATCTGCATATCAAGTGCTTCCCTCCCTCAAGGTATTACTAACCCACTAGGTGTCCAAGCTAGAAACCTTGGATATCTTCTTTCGTCCTTTTCTTTCTCTATTTCTACCATCTCTGCCCTATATACATCCAATAGATCACCAAATCTCAAAATCACCTCTTAAATATCTCTTGAATTTGTTCACTTTTTCCCATTTCTTTTTCAGGCTATCGTCTTTTCCCAGTATTAAGTAGTCTCCTTCCTAGTGAGCTTGTAACCCTACAGCCCATTCGCCAGGCTTTGGCCGGAGTATCTTTCCAAAACACAAATCTGATAGTGTTGATCCACTTAAAAATTACCAATAGTTCTCTATTCCTTTGTCTTCTGTATAAACGTAGCTCATTAAAACTGTTACATTCAAGGACTTTCATAATCTACCTGTTGCTTCTGTCTTACTAACACTTCTGCGCTTTCTTTCACTTCTGGCTTCTTAAACTGCTATTCTCTCTGTCTTGCCCACCCACCTTCCCATTTCCTCATACCATCTTTTAATCTGATTAACTGATTTCAGCATAGATGCAACTTCCTATAAGCCTTTCCTGATGCCTCTGAAGATTTAGTTGCCATGATTGTGTTCTCCCACAGCCCTCTGCATTATCTCTGATACGATATTTATCCCACTTACTGTCCTTACCTGGCTCTTGCCTAAGCTGTAAGCTCCTTGAGGACAGGAACTTCATCTTTTTACTCTTGTCTCCAGAATTTTTAGTACTTACTAGGAACTTGATCATAATGCCTAAGGCACTCGACTGCTAACTAGAAGGCTGGCGGTACAAACCCACAGCCACTCCTTGGAAGGACAGTTGGGCAGTCTACTTCCACAGTGAGTTTGGCTTGGTTTTTGGTTTAGGAACTTAATAAACATTTGGTAAATGTGTGAAATATTTTGTGTATACTTTATTTGTTTTCCTTATAAGGTAGTAGTGAGCAGCCTTAGTAAATGTCATCATTTCTCTTCACAGAAAAAAGTTGTGTCGATCATGGCAAGTAAACCAAAGCAGGATGATGGTGCAAGAATTGCAGCTAGAAATCGCCTAGCTGCCATAAAAAATGCAATGAGAGAGAGAATTCAGCAGGAAGAACACACCGAGGCAGCGGGCCCTGTAATGCCAAAGGAAATTGATAAAATAGTGTTTGATGCTGGATTTTTCAGAATTGAAAGTCCAGTTAAATCATTCTCAGGTTAGTTTTCTTGCTTAGACTATTTAAGAGAAATATTTGGTGTGTTCTCACCTCATCACTATGTGCTTTTTGTGTACCCAACTCAGCCCTGTGGATGCGAAGGTTAAGGTGTATGGCAAAATTTAATCTTGAGTGTTAGTTATCAAGTACATACTTTATATCAGGCTTGTTCGAGGATGGTAGCTCTCATCCCACTCCCCACTCCTTGGAGGCAACAACTTTGAGTTCTTAATGGGATGCTATGTTTACTGCCTTATTGAAACAGGTGCAGCATTTTTCTTGCAGTATTCATTTATTTCCTCTCCTTGATGTTCTCCAGTCTTTCTTTCAGAAACACCTATTTTCTCTTTTTATCATTCTTTTCTGTATTTGCTGTTATCTTGTACTTCCTGGGAGATTTTCTCACCCTTTCTGTTGGCTGCCATGTTTTTAAGTCTTAAAAGCTCTTTCTCATTTCATTCTTTGAATGTTTCTCTTTATAATCTTCAATACTTGTGTCCTCAGTGTTTTAGCTTATCTTCCTGAGCATATTAATGATAGTTTTTGTTTTCTTCTCTTTGTATCATCAGTATTTGTTCCGAAATGCTTTCATCTGGTTATTTTTGGTGTCTCTCTCATATTAGGGTTTCGTGCAGGGATCCTTTTCTTTGTGGTCCTTCACCATCTGTTTATGGTTAAGAGTGACTGGAAGCTCTGCACATGAGTAGTGGCTTTGCTGTAGGCTGATTGGGCTGCACCATTATACTGGAAATGTGCATATCACTGTACTTAAGTCTTTTTTCCTGGGCTAGTCAGATTCCCCAGAGAAGATTCTTCCAATCTGCTGCCTGAAGGGTATAATTCTGGCTGCCAATCTTTTTGGAGCAGCTGAGTGTCTCAACAGTTTGTTTGTAAATGTTTCTCTCAACTGTACCTAGCATCAGAGACCACCTTTTGTTTTACCTTTCTTAGAAAATAAACCTCGAGTTTTCTGATTGGTGGTGGTGGTGGTGGTGTGTTGTTGATATTGCCCTGTTGTGCAGAAAGAGGCAGAGACTCTGGGGCTCTAATTGTT